GCAAATCTGTATGGTTCATTAGTAGCTAACAGGAGTTATGGACTTTATTTAGTGAATGCATTTTGTCCTCTTAATACATGTTTTCCCCTCCATTTAAAGTGTTACTGAAAACTGCTTTTTTGTTTGTTTGTTTTTCCAGGCGTGAAAATAAACTCAAACTTCCACATGGCTGGATTTGTTATCTCGCACCAGAGATTGTGCGCAGAATGAGCCCAGGTAACAATGAGGACCGCCTTCCTTTTTCCACCGCAGCAGATGTGTACGCCTTTGGGTAAGTTCTTCATGCACATCTGGTTGAGTTCTGTCACAACTTTCACTGACTAAAAAGGAAGTCCACCATTTGAATTAAAAAAAAAATGCTCTTCCTTTTCCCCACTTCAAGTACAATTTGGTATGAGCTTCAAGCTAGGGACTGGCCAATCACTAACCAGCCTGTGGAAGCTACCATCTGGCAGGTGGGGAGCGGAGAGGGCATAAAGAAGATTTTGGCAGAGATCAGCCTGGGAAAGGAGGTCACTGTGAGTTGGACCTTGAGTGTGTCAGTCATTCAGAAATGTAGATGTTTGTTCTGCTTGTGTAAGAGTGGAAAATACCCATGCTGATACAATGATATCAAGATGTTGCAGCAGTTTTTAGGTCAATCGATTGTAGTTCACAGTGCGGTGAGTGCGGGTCAATGGTTTGCCAGTCACATTGAAACTAAGTGGTTTCTTGTTTCAGGAAATCCTCTCTGCCTGCTGGGCGTACGACTTGAGAGAAAGGCCGACCTTTACGCAGCTGGCTGACATGCTGGAGAAGCTACCCAAACTCAACCGCAGACTGTCCCACCCTGGACATTTCTGGAAGTCTGCAGAGTAGGTATCCCAGAAATGAAGGATGGTGTGAAGACACTGGACCTGTGAACACAAAAACCTTTCTTTCCTTTTTTTTATTTGTTTATTGAGAGTAGAATATCAGATCAGAGCTGGGTTCAGCCTTAGTACTGGGCTCAGATGAAATGTGAATTTTGTAATTTATAGCTGGAAACATGACTTCTGAACTTGAATTCCTTGCACAGCACTGTTTATTGAAATGAGACATTTTTTGGCAAAAATAAGTCTGTCATACAGAACTTTGTTACATTTGTGACCAACAGACTATAGCTAGAGTGTAACTGGGTAATGCATAGAGATCAAATTAAAACTCAGCTAAATGCATGTAGATATTTGGACGTAAAACATCTAATCGACTCTTTGCTTTAGTCTTTTCATTCTTACATAGACCACCTTAACTACTTCATGCAACCACATATGCCTCTTTTCCTGGCATTAGCATTAACTTTGTTATAGCCTCACGTCTCCACTGTTTCCTACATTTTATGCAGTATTGTCCAAAAGTGTTCAGCCACTCCTCACTTCTTTATATTTTGCTTTCAAGGAGTCATAATAGTTTTCCTGGCTTTTTGAAGGTCTTTCAGAGTTTTCCTTTAATTCTCACTCATTAGTCCCATGTATGAAACTGATCATTTTCAGAAGAAAGTAAGGAACCAATTTTAAAATGTGGCTTTAGGCACTTTCTTTTGCCTGTTGCAAAAATCTAAAATTTCTTGCCATTTCTTTAGTTGAAGAATGAAAGAAAGGAAAAAAATACAGATGAAAGTTTATGAGTTTGACAGACATAAAATAGTATTTTTGCACCAACAAGGTGATTCCCAAAGACCGTCACTAAAAACTTTACATATCTCAGCATGGTGTGCAGTGTGTCCATTAAAGATTTTAACTAGGCAAGTAGAGGACAAAAGAATTAGTGGTCATTATAATAATAAGTCATTATTGAAGCAGTGTGTGAAGCAGCCAGCATCCAAAGAAGTGCTCCAAATGTACTTCATGAAGCCTGAAGACTACTTCAGGAATAGTTATACCAAATATTCCAAGCTCACTAGAATTGAACAAACTCTGTTTTTGCGTTCTATGTTATATTTCCATGTAGATTTGGACAATTTTCTATCAATCACTGCACCTATGTCC